CAGAGCCAGAAGGAATATGGTGGACATGTGCACCACCAATTCCCCAGTACCTTATCTACACCCATACTCCAGTACTTTTATTAATTTGACATGCACCCCAGTTACCATGCACCTGGGCCTCATGTTATACAGGGATGCCCCAGCAACACCCATCAGAACCCCTAGACATCCTGCACCATGCCTAACGTATAGTGGGATGTGTCCTGACAGGCATGGGGGCCCTTATTGGACTTGTACAATGGGGAATTGTAGAGGAAGGAGGTCTATAGGAAGCTGAAGGACACAAGGATGGCTATGGATAACAACAAAAGGACCGAATTGAGGACATTGCCAAAGGATTTGATAAATTAGCTGAAAGACAATGTACTTTGGGAGCTATGGGAATGGACTACAGACTGGCTTTGGACTTACTCTTAGCCAGAAGGGAGGAGTTTATGATTTTTTAAAGTCCTCCTTTTGCATGTGGATTGACTGTTCAAGATAAAGAGCCTTCCTTGGCACAGTGGATGGAGCACTCGTCCTGGAGTCAGGAGGACCTGAGTTCAAATTTGGCCTCAGACCAAACTTTGACACTTACTAGGTATGTGACCCCGGGCAAGTCACAGAGAGAGAGAGAGAGAGAGAGAGAGAGAAGAGAGAGAGAGAGAGAGAGAGAGAGAGAGAAAGAAAGAGAAAGAAAGGCGAGCCTTCCTCATATTCTGTATGAGAAACCAAGTAAAGACTGTTGGTATCATCATCACAGACATCAAGAACATCTTGCCAGGGCCAATGACAATTTTTAGTGATCTTTTTTCCTAGATTTTTTCAGGCAAAGAGGCAGGATTCCTGTAAGGATCCTTTGAGGTTATTGTGATTATTGTGCTTGCTTTTTTTTGTTTAGATTAATACATACACATGGTGATGAATGATGGTGGTTCGGGAACCAGAGGGTGGATTGTGTTAAAAATCATATCTTATTCTGGTCCTCCTTACCACACATCACCCCCTCTAGTTGGTATGTTTATAAGTGGCCAGTATAAAGGGACAATGGCAGGAAGCAAGATTGCGATGGGGAACCTAGATGTCACATACAAAGTGTCCCAAAGATCAAAGGGATGTAAGTTACAAATTGAATTATTGTATATTATTTACAAATCACATCCTGATATGTGCTGAATCAAGGGAAAAGCCTCTGCCATGGGCTTTTGTTGCTATGATATGTACATCTGAGACAGGTTCCAGACCAGCAGAAAACTAAATGTGGTGCTGGTAACTCTGCAATGACGTGGATTTTTTCACTTGGAAATTTTACTGAAAACTTTGAGTTAGTGAATTAGCTACGTGATGGCACAAATAAGACTTAATCTGTCCCCCACCAAAACTTTAAAAATGGGACCCCAAACTCCTGCCTCCTGAGCACTCCTTCAGCTCCTAAGATTTCATGTTCCACAGGAATCCAGGGTCACATGAATAATATTGTCTGCCCCCCCCCACCCTTCCAGCCTTCCATCACTGTCCCATCCCTTGTCCCCAGGCCATCTGCTTCTGTACCTTGTCTCTGCCCTACTCCTTTTATATCCTTATTAAAGTGTGATTGCAGCCTCACTTCCTGTTGCCATTGTGGTCTTTGCTGGCAAGTACCCAAAGAACCAGAAGCACCTGTTGCCATTTCTGTAAATTAGTGATCAGTTCAGGGTTCACCTGCCCTCTGACCTATTCCACCTTGACATGCATACAATGAAATGAGATATGTCATTCACCTTGTGAGTCTTCTATAGAAATGTGAACTGTTCACTGGGAGACCTTTGTCAAGTTCATCAGCCTTTTATTGCCCACAGAGAATCATCTCTGATCCCGTTCTAGACCAGTAATTGATGTGCATTAGTGGAGAGAGTTCCTGCAGTCAGAGTTCCTTATGGCCAATGAAATCACATGTCTACACTCTCCTTTCTACCCACCCCTCAAAAAACCTTTGACTTCAACAATAAGCAAAAGAGAAATTTACTTAATAATGAATGAGTACTCATTAAGTACTTTGTTATTTCATTCTCATTTAAATGATTATTTAATGAACAGTTTCATAGTAAAACTTTTTTTTTCCTGAATGTGCTAACCCATAGTTTCCTGAAGGTATCAGTGGCCAATGGGTTCTGGCCCCATTTTGTGGCGGTATTGTCTTCCCCTTCCCAGACCTTTACCTTGACTAGTGGGTTGCATCGTCCTCTCTCACTTTGATCCTAGTACCCAGGGAGAGAGGAAAGGGGGTAGAAATAAGGATTTAAATACCATTTACTATGTACCAGACACTGTGCTGAGCACTTCATTATTATCTCATTTCCTCCTCACAGTAGCCTTATGAGGTAGGTTTAATTATTAACCCCATTTTATAATTGAGGCAGCTGAGGCAGACAGGGGTTAAGTGACTTGTCCAGGGCCACACAGTAAGAGGTGTTTGAGGCAGTATTGAAACTTATCTCTTTAGGACTCCAGGCCCAGCGCTTTATACATTAGGCTACTTAGCTTCTAGTCCCTTGACTTACTTCTGACAATTAATTATTGCCTTGTCCTTTGGATTCCCAGTTTTTTGTCCTATCCTGTAGAGGAGATACTTGTAGTCTCTGCTTTGAAAGTCTGGTCTGTCTTTGTAAGGAAATCGTTAACTGCCTTGTGCCTGGTCCTTAGGATTCTTTCTTTAGTTATTAAATGTCTACTTTAAGCAAGATACTTTTCCAGCTGACTTCTGACCCTCAGTAACTCCAGGAGGCATTACTTTCTCCTGTTGGACCTTTGCCCATCACATGGTCATATCTTGTATTTACCAGAGGATTAGTACCCATCCCTTTCCTCTTTTAACTCTCCTGACCAACTGCCCTCACACTGTGGTCACCCACATCTTAGTATGATTGTATTGTAACATCAGGAACACACGTCAAGCAAAGTGTCCCTGTGTTCTAACTAAAAGACAGAATTTAGTTACAAATGAGCCACATTGCCAGTTTCTTACATCACGTGTAATGGGCTTTATCTCTGCAAGGATGTTGTAAAATTTTTGAGAGCCATGGCTGGGTCTCTTGTTTTTCTTTGCCCTTTGTTTATCTCTGTGGTGTCTAATAAAGCATTCTGTACACATTCAGTGCTTAATAAATATCATTAAGGAATAGTTCCAACTTTAGCCTCAAGCTCCTTGTTCAAAAGGAAACTCAGTCAGCTTCCATCCCAGTGACATTCTGTGCATTACCAGAAACAAAGGTGGCATAGAGTAAGCTGGATAGCTGAAGATCTCTGAGAGTAAACAAGTCACACTAGTTAGCTGAGTGACCGCTGATTTTCAGTTCATCTTTATTTCCCAGATCCACCACCTTCTCTTGGAGATTCAGTTAAATTAAACAGACAGTTGCTATTGACTTCTGGTGTGGCACTCTACTAGGTTCTGGGACCCCAGGACACAAACAAAAGAGTCCCTGCCCTGCTGGAGCTTTCATTCTCTGTGGGAGTAGAGCATGCACACAAATCAGGGTAGTACAAGGAAAACTGAGAAGGCACAGAATTAGGGGCAGAGCCTCTGTTCCAGCTCTGAGGACAACATTTAGACAAGTTCATTTATTGATTATAAATTTGGAGAAAAGGCAGAGGTTTTGAGTTCTGCAGTGAGGTGGCTCAGTGTATAGAGCACCAGTAGTGGAATCAGGAAGAATCACCTTCATGAGTTCAAATCCAGCCTCAGATACTTACTATCTGGGTGACCTTGGGCAAGTCACTTAACTCTGTTTTCCTCAATTCCTTATCTATAAAGTGAGTTGGAGAAGCAAATGGCAAACCCCTCCAGTATCTTTGCTGTAAAAACCTCAAATATGGGGTCATGAAGAATTGGATATAACCAAAAAATGACTGAACAGCAACAAAGTCTGGGGGAAAGCAGCTGCGCTACCTGCTGATAAGTAAGTAGTCACTAGCTGAAGTGAGTAGACTTTAAGCCTACTTATAGGGTCATGGGACCAAAGACCTTAGAATTAATTAAGAAAAATTAAATTTTATTACTTTCTGGCACAGCCCATAACTGAGATTGAGGAATGATGGTTACCTGGTACAGATTCTTTAATGAAGAGATTCAAATAATTTATAATTAACATATATACTTGATACTTCCCAGCAGTGTTGTTCAATGAAAAATGGATTTCCTAAGGAAAAATAACATGCCAAACCTCTGTAGAATTACTATGCATCATGGTGTAGGAGTGATGCAGTCACAGAAGTAAGGTCCTCGAGGGAACTGCTAGCACATATCATCATAATCAGTGTTGACCTTTGTATTATGCGTGAAATGTTATTAACGGCTTTTAATACATTAGATCCCGCAAATAATACTTTTACACATGAGGAAACCCAAGCCCAAAGTGGTTGAGAGGTTGCTTATCCATCATAGAGGTACGTAGACTTCAAATCCAAGTTGCCTGAGGCTAAGTCCAGTATCCATAAGATTATCCCTTATGTTATCACTTAGGCATTCAATGAATGTCAGATTTAATTGAAATAAAATTACAGGCCATCTCTTCCTTATTTTATATATATAGAAACTGAGTCCCAGAGAGGGGCTTGTTATTGCAGTGAGTTGCATAAATTAAAAATACATACTCAGTACAAAGTCAGGAAGATCTGAGTTGGATTCCTCCCTCAGATACTTACTAGCTGTGTCACCCTAAACAAATTATTTAACTTCCTTCAGTTTCAGTTTTCTGATTAGAAAAATTAGGATTATCGTTAGTACCAACCTCATAAGGTTGTTGTCAAAGTCAAGTGAAATTCCCTACATGAAACACCTTTCACACCTTAAAGTAAAATGTAAATACTCGATATTGTTTTAAGATGAGAGATTTTGAATGGAATCATGAGAGGAATACTTAGGATCTATTTCTGACAGCTTGGAAAGTGCCTGCAGAAATGTTCTTTGACACCACCCTGCCAACACTCAGAGAGAAGCTTCATCATTATAAGTATGGAATTTCTTGTGTTTTTGTTTTCAGTGGATGATTCAAAGACCATTCAAAGCAGCAACATTCTTTGGCTGCATTGGCATGGACAAATTTGGTGAGATCCTGAAGAAGAAAGCTGCAGAAGCCCATGTGGATGCGCATTACTATGAACAGAATGAGCAGCCTACAGGAACTTGTGCTGCCTGCATCACCGGTGACAATAGGTCAGACCAGATTTCTTGTGAAAATAGTTACTGAGACAAATGTTGGTAAGAGAGAAGTTAGAATTTGGAATTGGAATTCTATGTTTCTGACCTTTTAATATTATTGGGTAGTAATTATTAGGACAGCTAGGTGACCCAGTGGATAAAGCACTGAGCTTGCATTCAGGGAGATTTATTTTCCTGAGTTCAAATCCAGCCTCAGACATTTCCCAGTTGTGTGATTTTGGGAAAGTCACTTCACCCTGTTTGCCTCAGTTTCCTCATCGATAAGATGAGCTGGAGAAGGAAACGGCAAGCCACTCCAGTGTCTTTGCCAAGAAAACCCCAAAATGGGGTCATGGAGAGTCGGACATGACTGAAAATGAGTAAGCAACAAATAATCAACCAAAAAGCTTTTTTAAAGCAATTACTACTATGTGTGAGTGGCTCTGAGGTTGTGTGTGTGTGTGTGTATTTACTGCCCTCCAGGAACTTGTAATGACAGAGACAGCATGCACATAAACAGACATGTGCAAGTTCCATAGAGAGTAGATGGAGATATCCCCAGTGAGAAGACAGGAGCTGAGGGAAGGGGAACCAGTAAAAGCCGCCTACAAGAGGCTTAAAGTGAGTGTTGAAGAAGTGTTTCAAAAGGCAGAGGAGAAAAGGAAGCAAGCACTTTGTGTGTAGACACAGAAAACATTGTAATGATCTCTATTTGGTGACAGGTTGAAATTTCTCTTTTGGTGGTGTCATTTTTTTGGGTTCAGAGTGCTTTGTTGTACATAGTTCATAGACTCTTTGAAAAAACAAACCAAAAACTCTGTGACGATTTTCCTTCCTCTACAATGGTGTACACATGGTTCTGGTTTCTGATTTCTCCACTAAATATGTTAAAATAGAGAGCTTTCTTCATTTGGGGATATTTTTACTAATGGGCAATATCATACTTGGCAGGCTAAACCCATGTTAATAGATTAACAATTTCGTTTGAGATAGAGAGGCACAACTAATGAGAACTTTCAAGTACGTGAATATGTGGAGAAATTTCTAACAACCTAAAATATATAGATCTATGAAAATAGCTGTTATAAATTTTAATATAATTCTTAATAGTAACACTAATCGTATAAAACATACAACTATTCCTGTAAAGAAAATGAAATCATAGTATCTTTCCTGAACCCAGTTGGTTCTCATGTAATACAAAGCCATTGCAGCCATCATGATTCTTAGCACAGGGAAAGGCAGAGAGAGCTAGCTTCCTGTGTCCTCGAAGGTAACCCCGTTACACCCTCCTCTACAGAACTGTTCCCTGATTCTCCAAGACAGAGAGGGAAAGGGCCCTTAGAAAGCTCCTTGCCCTCTTCTTTTGGTCTAGATGGAGCTTTCCTACAGATGAAGTAAAGAATAGAGCATCTCTTTGTTCCTGCAGAAAAGACACGAGGAAGAAAAAGAGAAAATAATTATATTCAAGATTCTTTTTCTGAATGAGTTGGACAGGTGGCCACGGAGGTCAGTTCTGATTCCCAAATTTTATGATTCTCTGATTGAAAAAGCCCAGAGTGCAGAACCCTCCTGGCTATTCTTAAGTCTCAACCAATTTTTGTAGTTTAGTTAGTTCACCTCTTTGATTATCTGTGCCACTCCTCAGTTCCTCCCCCTAAAGAATGTAGGCAACAACACACGTTCTGCATTGAAAGCTCTTTGCAACGTCAGTTTGCCCTCACCCCAGTTCTATTTTAGGTACAAGGAGGCCTTCTCTTTGAATAGAGAAGGCTGCCTCTTCCATCCAACCACATGACTCATTAGGGGACTCAATTTCCTGAGACCTATTCTGCCTCAAGCTCAGTGGGAAAGGGACAAATTACTGTGTCTCTCATTCCAAACAGCTAGAATGTAATTAGTTGTCAGTTGATTATTATGTTATTGCCAAGATTGTTAAGTAGGCAGGCTCCTAAAAAAAAAAAAAAGTCTTATGGATTCAAGTCGTACCTTTAGTTGCCAGGGTTCTTGGGCACTAGAACATAAATGATTGAATAATAATGACTACGTCACAAGGTCATCTCTCCCATAGACAATACCTTAAGAACCTTTCCTGTTCTCTTGGTTTTGAATCCTGACAGGTAGAAACCTTATCTCCTTTTGGGTCCCTTCACCATAGAACATCTAGGTCAAGTCTTGAGGATAGCTGAGGAATTCAGTGAATATTCATTGCATCAATGAAATGAATAAGTAATATTTTTAGGAATAGAGATGTATAATATACTACATCTAGGAGGGACATTAGAGATCTTTCATGTTTTGGAACAAAATTTTTCTGGCCAGTCCTTTTTCTTCACTTAATATTTATCCTCCTTACAAGAGATCTATATCTACTTCCTCTGTGTCTTTTCTCTAGTAAAAATCTCCATGCTAATCTTTCATAGTTCTGTAATTTTAAAATGTTGGTTTTATGTTTAAAAAAATATTTTCCAAGGTTTTCTTGAATGTCAGTAGCAAAACTTATTCAAAATTTGTATTTGGATTTCTGAATGTATTTCTTGAAATTCACTAGTTGAAATACTGATGTGAGATCTATTTTATAAAGACTTCATTGTGTGATTTCAGGAGCAGTAATAAATTTGCCAGCTAAATGGTCTTATAAAAAGTTTTCCTAGCAAATAGTTTGTCATTATTTTCCTTTTTGTGTCTTTCATTTTCTTATTATTCTATGCATTTCTGTCTTTTCCCCCACTATTTTTTCTCCCTTTCTCTTTCTCCCCTCTTATTTCAAATCATGCTCTTTCTTTGCCTTCCTTTACTGTTGTCTAGGAACTTCAGGCATCAGTGCACTGTTAAATCAGATAATCATAGAGTTTTGGACTGAAAAGAGACCTATTAGAGATACTCTTTGCCAAGCCTTTCATTTTACATTTCTAGAATTTGAGTCCTAGAGAAGCAAAATGACTTGCTTAAGACAACTTACTTTATTTTCCTAGGAGTCACAGATTTGTACATATGTGCAGGGAGATGGATGTGAGTTCACAAATATTAAGCACATGGTAGACACATGTAACAATATTTAAAGGCACAATTCGGAATATTAGAGAAATAAGTAAAGGAAACACTAAAAACCATTTGGTTTTTCCTGTGCAGAGGCAGCTAGGTGAGATAGGAAGAGCTGAGTTCAAATTCTGCCTCAGATACTTCATTAACTATTTGACCTTAAGCAAGGCACTTAATCTTTGCCTGCCTCAGTTTCTTAATTTATAAAATGGGAGTAATGATATCATCCACTTCTCAGGATATTGTGAGTATGAAATGAGATAACATTTCTAACGTGCTTCACAAACCTTAAAGCGCTATATAAATTTGACTGTTGTTGTTGTTGTTGTTGTTATTATTATTATTAAGTGGGCTGCTCATATGGTGAAAGTGAAGAACAACAAAATCGGTGCTCATGAATGGTGTAAAGTGTTGTAGAGGAAGCTCTCCAACTCTTTGGGCAGATTGTATTGAAGATCTTTGGAAAAAAAGGAAAAGTGAGATACAATGAAAAAACATGAATGGCTTGCAGTCAAAGCAACTTCCACATTGAGATCATAGATCTTTTGAAATGTACACGTTCTGAGGAGCAGAGCCAACAGTTGGGAGCATCCAAGTATGTTAGTAGGTCAGTGGTCCTGCTGGATTTGGAATCAGAAGACTTTGACTAGAATTCTTACTTTTCCTCCTGTGCAGACTTGGTCAAGATACTTAACATCTCGACCTCTGTTTCCTTATTTATAAAATGAGATCATCAAATAACTTCCAGCCCTAAATCTTTGGACCATGAATCATGAACAAGGATTCTCAGGTGTTCCCCAAGACCAGTTTTATACTCATTCTAAAGTGGTAAAACACAAGTCTCTTTAGATGTCATATGGTCTGTGCTAATAAAAGGTTAAGACCCTTTCCTCTTAGGCTTCTTTTTCCTTTAAATTCTTCTTCATTCATTCAGTTATGATTTGCTAAAGTGATATCTATAGTAGATACTCATTTATTGAATAGTGAAGTCAATTTTCTCTGTTGGAGAACTGGAGTCATTTCACAAAAAATTAGTTCTAATGTTGATGATGTTGATCTCAAACATATAAGCCTTTCCTGGAGTTCACTTTTTAAGAGTGGTCGGTGCTTCCTTATCCATCCCTCTTGTTCTTCATACTCTGTCTCCAAATAAAATGAATCATCTGTAGAAGATCAATATAGGTTTACCATTGTGTTTGTGAAGGTTTCTGTTCATAATTTTCTACCTCCACCGAATTGACATGATTTCTATTCAGTGCTCCAGAAATATTTCTCCAAACCGTATCATTTTTTATACAAATGATGCATTTTTAAAGTGAGAAACTCTCTGGAATTGACTCTTAGATAGAAATAACATTTCTAAGACATTTTAAAAATATTTGTGATATATAAGAAAAGCGGAATGGTGTTATTATGGTTGTGATCAGAAGGTATGGAAGCTGAGCAACCAACTTTCCTTTTTGGGGGGGGAGGTGAGGCATTCGGGGTTAAGTGACTTGCCCAGGGTCACACAACTAGGAAGTGTGAAGTGTCTGAGGCCGCATTTGAACTCAGGTCTTCCTGACTCCAGGGCCAGTGCTCTATCCACTGTGCAACCTAGCCACCCCTCCATCTTTCTTTAGAAGAAATCAATCTAAAGCTACTCCCACTAACTTTGGTTTCTCAATAAAAATAGTTAAATACTGTGCTATGTCTTTATCCTTTAGCACTTATGAGCCTTTTTTTTTTACACAATACCTCATAATGTGTAATTGTGAAAAGATTATGGGCAAGGGGCAAATTTTTCTAGGCTAAAAATAATTACATTTGGGGCTATAGGATACTAAAACAGAAAGAGAGAGAAAGATCTATAATAAACTGATGGATGAATGAGTTGAAATGAATTTTTTGAAATAAATTAAATTTTTATTTTTACAAAGAACTATATAGAACAGCCTAGAATGATAAGTGCCAAGACAATTACCTTTTTACTTGAAAAAGAAATAATAATCACATTCTTCTTTGTCTCTGTTTCATTTCCCTTATGTAATTCTATATTAGAAATGAAAAGAAGGTCACTGTATGAACCAGTGGACTTTAAAAAGCATATAATCAATTTTATTTAATGACATAATATAAAATATAATTTTATTCTATCTGGTTTGATCATTGGTCAATAATTAAAAAGTCACTATAATAGTTTGGGCAGAATCTGAGCTGCTGAGTTGTACTTAAGTTTTCCAGCTGTAACATGAGAGAAGCCCAGGGGCTTGGCAGCTGTGGAAACTAATTTTAATTGATTCCAGCCCTTAAAATGTAATGTTTTGCAAATTAATTCCCCATAGTAACTGTAGAGTATGTAGTGAAGACATGTGTTGGAATATGAAATTAATCCTAGGTTTGATTTTTAGAGCATTTGGATAAATACACAAAATACAGTCTATCTGTAAATGTTTTATAAACAAAGACATTTTTGCAGTAATTAGGATTAAGCTTTTCATCATCCGCTTTTGCACATTAACATTCCAATATGTTCTTTTCTTTTTAGGTGAATTTTAACCTTTTAAAATGTGTCAGTCATGCATTTCAAATTGCCCAAAAATGCTTTTCATTTTCTATTTCTCAGCATTTTAAGTTAGTAGTTTTAAGTTTCTAGAATACGGATTTCTCATCTTGATGAATGTCCTAAACATACTTTGTAACTTGACAATCTCACTTAAGTCCTCAAGAGAAAATGAACCTTATGTTCATGTTTGAAACAAAATGAACAGCCCACAAAATATTGGGAATCGATGGTCTACAAAAGTATACAACCAGTTTTTCCAATAGCAAGAAAACCTGTTTTTGCTTGGTTATTTTAGGTCCCTTGTTGCCAATCTTGCTGCCGCCAATTGTTATAAAAAGGAAAAACATCTTGACTTGGAAAAAAACTGGAAGTTGGTAGAAAAAGCCAAAGTTTATTACATAGCAGTAAGTATGGATTACTTTATATTTGTGGTACTTATTGACATTACAAATTGTGATTGTCAGCTGTTGTACAGGTTAAATAATTTGCTTAATGTAACCTGCAAATCTCAAGTCAAAACATGGTAGTATCACTTTTGCAAATAGTGAGGGAAAATGTAACCATTGTATGTTTGTGTTGTCTGTTTTTTGGTTTCCATCTGTTTGGATCCATTCTAGATAGATACTTGCTTACACTGAGTACAGGATGCCTTATTAAGCCAACCTTTTTCTTAAGAGCTCTTGTAATATTTGTTCAGCAAATTTACATTCCACATTTTTAAGGCAAATTGTTGTGAAGGATGCCCGGATTATGTAGAAAAACATTATTAGCATAATTATTCATTGCAAACAATTTGAGCTTATTTGCCTGAAAAATCTTAATTGCTATTTATTCCATAGTAATTACCGTGACACCTTATAATTCAATATTTCAGTAACATTGATCATGACAAGAGTCTTGGATCTGGGCAGGGAAGCAGGCTATGCTTTGAATTATTAAATCTTTTGGGCCATACAGTATGTAAAAAAAAAAAGTTAATTTCTAAAACTGGGTGGTTTTTTTTACTTGAAAAAAAATCCTTCTGAATTAATCCAGTACTCCTTTGGTGATGTTTAAATTCTGGGTAAACAGAGAATTTGTTTCCATGTCAATGTGAGGTATCTGTAGTTGATCACAATCAGTAATTAAATAGAAGCTTCTATGAAAGATTATAGACCCATAATGCGTATATAATCTATGGTTCTAGTATAACAGATGCTGCCATTCTGCTACCTGAACTGTGTGGGAACAGCTGGCAAAAAAGTGTAAAAAATTGATTATCCAGTAGGAACACATTCATTGAAAATATAGTTATTTCTTTCAGCTAGTGTTAATGTCTCCTCCAGCCTGTTAGTGTGCAGTACTGTAGGCTTTACATGGCTGTTATTGATTCTTGTGTAGAGCAGAGACTGCCCCTTTTTAACTGTCAAACAAATACTAACATTGAAGGTTGTACAAAGGAGAGGCATCCCACAGCTCCTGCCACATATTTGAAAAAACATTTCAGGAATTTGTTTATTCCCCAGAATTATTTTAACTTTTAATTTGTTCCTATAAATAGTCTCAGGTTTTCATTTTCAAACAGTGATACCTTTGTCGATGAATTTAGTTTTCGATCTAAACTGATGATTTTGTAGCCTTTTCCTTTGGGGGCTAAAATGCCATCAAGAGGTTTTATTTCACTTATGGATTTTTATTTTTCAAAAATCAACAAACCTTGGGGTTTGAAGTTTGTTGTGATCTATACTAGACTGCTTACAATAGTTAAGACATACGACAGTTTTTTTGTGTACCAAAATAGCAGTGTTTCTAAGACAGAGTTCCCTGTATTTTAATTTTTCAACTTTATGAATTTTCATACAAAGAGATAATCAGTTCAGCACTCCTTCCCTGCCCTCATCTTATAACTATCTTCTAATCCCACAGGACTCTTTATACATAGTAATAAAGAAACTGTCTGTATTGCCTGGTGGCCAGGCAATCAACAAACATTTATTAAGGGCCTACTATTGTGCAAAGGCAGTATGCTAAGTGCTGGGGATACAAATTGGAAAAGAAAGATCTTCCCTACCCTCTAGAAGTTTACAACTGAATAGGGGAAAGTGACATACAAAAGGAGGCTGAAAAGGGGAATGGCAAGGGGGAGGGTATGAGGTATGAGGGTGTAATGGAGAAATCTCAAGAAATGCTACCAGGTCAGAAATATGCCCTCTTTGAGTGGAGTCATTAGGAGGAGCTCTTGTGATTTCTTTATCCACAACGATGTAGATATTATCTTCAAGGCTTTCTTCTTACTCTCTCTTCCAGCTTCTTCCCTATTAACTCAAGAAAACCATTGTTGTTCCATTGTTTCTTTATCCATCTCTGTTTTATTTGTGTGCAAAGTAGAAGTGAACCCAGTGTGATAAATAAAGGAGTAGGAGTCTTGACAAACTCGTATCAAGGAAAAGGACATGCGTAAAGGGAAATCAGACGTATTAAAGAACCCAGTACCAATAATCTCTAAAAACCTTGAAAGTACTGAGAAATCTACCTTTCAAAATCTCCATCTCCATGTTCCTCCTCCTCCTTTAGGTCCCTTCTTACTATTCTTGCTCCAGTGAAACTTTTTTTCTCAAGCAGCAACACTTAAGGTAAATTAGAAAACTGTTATTTGTTATTTTTGTTGTGCTTAATTACTAGTATTGTTTTGTCTAATACACTTTCGCCAACCGAATATAATAGTGATGTTAGAGATAAAATGAGCTTTTGTGGGTTTATCCTGGGAAACCTAGCCACTATTAAATTTTTCCCCTTTTGGAAAATGCATGCAGAATCCCAAACAACAGACTTTCAGTTAATGTTTTAAACACAGTCCATTTGTTCATTACACATGTTCCATGTAAACTATTGTAAAGACCAGATATTTAGAAGATACTCAGAGATTGAGTTTGACTGAAGAATTTAGCACTCTGTTTTGTGAAATCTTATTTACAAAACTTGTACATGTGTGCTATTGAAAACTGAGCGTGGCAAAAAGTAGATACTGATGATTTAAAGTTGTTAGAATGTAGGGGTTCTTAGTCTTCATGGGAAGGAAATCCTATTTAATTCTATTAAGCAGTTAAGTGCCAGATTCTTTACATTGGAGAGTTCTGGGACGGACCTACTTCTTTCCCTCTTAAGTACAACATAGAATTATTTCTAGAGGAATTGTGCCTGCATTGATAGTACTGTTGAGCTACCATGTAAGTGGGGATTTTTTTTTCTATCATGTACTTTGAAGAAGAAAACTATGAAGAAGAGATGACTCTACTTTGGAGGAAGAAAAAAAAACAACCAAAGATACCTGTTTTGAGCATCAGTTTGGTTTACTTGTTCTGTGGTTATTCTGTTTAGACTAAACTTTTAGATTTTCCATTATTCCCTTAGTATCCTTTATTTACTTACTTTCTTCCCCTGCTTTAGCCTTCTTTCTTTACCTTCCCTCAAGGCATCCCCTATCATGTAACTATTCCAGCCATCTATGAGATTGATCTCTTTATGCCATACATCTCCATCAGTTCCCAATTTGGCATATTTACACCTTGATTCTTACCTTCAAAGCCTAAAATGACCACGGATGAGTTTTTACATGTGACTAGAGTTAATATGTGAGTTGGAATTCTCATCTTTTGGGAGCAAGATGGGTTTTGGAAGGAGCCACACAATGTCTACATGGGTACATTGAGCACCAAAATTCTTCTTATCTTGGCCACCGATTTAGAGGAAATTTAGATGGAATGGTTAGTAGTCAAGGAAGAGGAAGTGAGCATAAATTTGGGAAGAAAGGGTGGGTAGTGTTAGTGCAAGGGGGAATGAGAGGATGCTGCTAAGAGGTGACAGGCTGATCCAGTGTAGAATTCTTTTCCTTCGTTGTAATCTTCAAGTTCTTCTAATTAGTTATCTATGTCAGTGATATTTGGTTTGGGTTTTTTAACTGAGAGTGTGTTACAGGCAATGGATAATTCTTAGAATTAGTTGCTTTAGTTGAATATTAAGAAATCATACGCATGATATATCAATCTTCCAAAAACATGTGACTGTGATGCTTCATCATGTCATGGAGGTTTACCCAGGTTTCTGCAAGTTTATGCTGGGTGGCCGAAAACTGGCTATTCAGTTTTATTTGAAAAGCATTTATTAAAACACCTCTCGTGCTAGAAACTTTGTAGGGGTTACCCTCAAGTACATCTTATTTGAAGGTTGGTGTGGCAGGGAGGAGCAACATATATAGTTAAAAACAAAATACACACAAATTAAGTAAAACAAATGAGAAAGGAGGGAAACTTATGGGGGAAGTGGACATAGAGGAGAGGAGTGTCTGGGAAATCACTGGAATGGTGAATGGAGTCATATTGTAATTGACTGACACTCCCTTTTTAGAAACAGTGATAATGTTGATTTGATTAGTGTTTCTTAAAACAACAGGCAGAAGGGGGTTAGGAGAGAGCAGGTACATAAAGGGGGTTAGGAGAGAGCAGGTACATAGTATAAAGCCAGATTTAGTGGGTTCTTACAAAAAAGGACAACATGGCCCCAGGGCAGGAGTTCCAAATCTGAGTGTTTTAGCTTCTCCAGGCTATGGTTTCTGGAAGTATGGTTTGGAAATGGTAGTAATGGACTCACAGAGGCTGGAGATGTAATGTATCAAGTAGCCCATTTTGGCTTGAACATAGAATGTGTGAAACAGAATAATGAGAAGTGAGTCTAGAAAGAAGGGATGACTCCAGATGATGAAGGATTTTAAGTGCCAAACAGCACAGTTTGCATTTTATCCTACAGGTAGTATTGAGCCCCCCCCGAAGCTTCTTGAGAAGATTGAGTATTATGGTCAGACTGTATCTAAGAAATACCAGTTTAGCATCTGCACTGGAGTGGGGATTAGAGAATGTAAAGACCTGGAGCAAGGAGACCGATTAGGAGTCTGTTGTAACAGTTCAAGAAAAAGTAACAAATGATTGAACCAGAGTAGTCACCATGCAAGTGGAAGGAAAGGGACAGAGACAGATGATGCACAGGTCAAACTGACAAGATTTGAAATTCGTCTTGGAGTAGCAAAGAATGGATTTGGTAGAATTGGTTCTATCTTGTGCCTGAAAGCATCATTTCATTGAATGATTGGTCCCTTTCACTTCCTGTGCTCATGCTCATGATGAACATAAATAGACTGGTGGCCACAAAAGCATTTGCACTAATGTCTATTGCAGAGGATAAAGGAAAGAGAGAAATTATATCAAGAACAAAATCTTTTAAGATAAGTCCATTGATGCTAGGGAACTTCTCTGCCCTGTGACTTCAGAGGGTGGTCAAAGAAAAAAATGCTTGAAAAAAAATAAAGTTTGAAACAAAGGGAACATTAGTCACTTGGGCTTCTATATGTTAAATATTTTCTTCACAAAGAGAA